TGAATAATTATTAAATATTAGGACCGAATCGATCCTAGAACCGATACTTGGTGTCGGCCGATAGTGGTAGTGTCGGATATATGGGTATTGATTTTTTTTTCAAAATCGATATTTGAACCAATATCACAAAAAAAAAATTGCCCAGTATAAAATAATATTTTATTATCATAAAATACAAATAGTACTTATAAACATGTAGGTATAAAGGATTAATTTAATTTTCGAACGTATAGAGAGAAAAAAATTGTCAAGCGAAGCGAAAAAATTTATTTTAAGATTAATATCCATATTTTTTTAGTATGCATACCCACAGAAATATTTACCAATACACCATTGTTTATACATATCTTTTATCAGTTTTATATTGGTTGCATACATTGGAATATCGGACATCAATAAAAAAGTAGTATTGGCCCATCCATAGTAATATTTTTAATTTGTTGCTTAAATTAATAATTATTATAATAAAATTACATTTGGTTAAAATATTCATATTTAAATTATGCCCTTTTCGCTTTTTTCTTATAGTTTAAATAATTTAATTTCATGATATTGTATATAGATTCTATTTTATAGAACTGTATGTAAAAAAATAAATAGAAATTGATGTCAAATTTAAACGAACAAATATTATACAGGTACTTTGTGAATATGCAACCATACTCCAATACAACAATAAACACTCTATGAATTTTTTGGGGTTTGATAATTACTAGGAATTTGATAGTAAAACTTTAGATATTCTTTTTATAATGAGCATTAGGCCACCATTCTTGATTCTTACTACATGTCTTGTTATTCGTATTTTCAATATTTTATTTCAATATAGTGGAAATAAATAATTCTAAAACTAGAGTTATTTTTCAAATACTCTCCCCTGCAGTGCGTTTGTCGGTTTAACGTACCCATAGTTCCCACATGTATTCCATGTGTTTGTCGGAATTCATGTAAAAACTATTTTAATATTTAAATGGATAAAAATAATATTCAAATATCCTTATTAAGTTATTTTTTTATAATGCTTATGATAATTACGATTAATTATGTCTATTGATTGAACCATTATACTGAGTATGTGAATATTTCATTATAACTTATAGTATAAATAAAACAGTATATGCACTGTAATAATGTGAATTATTAGTTAATGTAAATCTAAACAATTTATATTTTTATACGATAATATGTATGTTTGTATGGAATGTATTATTAAATTCTATATAGATGTAGGAATTGGTAAATTATTACGAGGTATATTTTCAGTTATAGAATATTGAAATAATGGAATCAATACACATACATAGATTGGAACATTCAGTGGAGTGTTAAACTAATTTTTGGTGAGTTGAAAAAATGTATAAATGATACTCCTCATTCCCACTAGAGGCTTTTATAACCCATCAAAATAAAATATAATATTTATAAAATACGACTATATTTATACAGCTATTTGTAATTCATATGTACTTAATTAGTTAATTTATTACACTCTGGTGATATAGTCTTGCAAATTACAATATTGAATATATTATTATTATTAAGCCCAGTATAGTAGTATCCACCGATTTACTACCAAATTTTGAAGGAATAATTACCCAAAATAATAACTTTGCTACGTCACTAATTTAGTTTTATAATATTTTAATCAATAATATAAAAATTAATTTGATTAATCATCAGATTTTATAATAATTACAAAAACTTTTAACCGTAAATTACAATTTAATTTGAATTATACCTACATAACACAAATGTGTATTTAAATCACTTCCTGTATTAAATTAAATAACGACAATCAGTTTTTTATAAACTATCGGCTGCATATAAATAATAATTTAAATATTATGTAAAATAATTGTCAATTTCGTAATTAAATATGAAAACAAATATTTTTTAAATAATTTGTATTAATAAATATAAGAAATATAACTGTTAGTGTGCGTAATATGCAGTATGTCGGGTGTATCGACATTAAGAAGCGTGTATTTTCTTTTGTACATTTGTTCGTTCCAACATCATATACAACATCTGGAATTAGGTAGGAGTACTGAAACTGCACCTTTTACATTCTACACTTTGTAGTTCATATTATATACATCAAATGACTAAACATTTTACAAAAAATTCGAACATTTGTGAACTTTGTTTTCTCATAATTTCAATAAAAAAAATCGTTGCCTTCCGATACTATATTTACTTTTAAACATATATGTGTATACAAACACTGTACGAGTATAACTTAAAAAAAATATTTATTACCTATGGTATTTGATAAATAACTAATAACTTATGAGTATGACAAATATCTAGCCAAATAATTAAATAAACACAGTTTATTCCGTACAATATTACAAAATTATCCACATTGTGGTCATGCAATAGCAATGACAAAAGTTTACACGCACTACATGGTATTTTTTTAAATTATAATGAAAATTAAATCCAATATAATCTTAAAATATATTTTAATTCTTCGTCTTCTCCCGTGCACTCTTGACAAACCTTGCTAATTGTACATTGCCACCCTTATATATTCGTATACTCTTTTTAACATTTTAACCAGTCGCTAGGTACTTAGATTTGTCATGATATCACAATATATTCTTATAAGGTTCACCCATGAAATGCAATAAAAATATAATATCTTCGTATAAATGATGTATATAATTTTGCATATTTATTGTACATATTAATGTTATACTTAATAAACAAATAATATTTGGTAATCTTAATGAAATAACTCTATGATATAAAGCCGATATGTATGTACATTTGTTTTCGTTGTAAATGAAACACTATTATCGTAGATATATATATATATATATAAACGATATTTATGGTAATTCCTTATTTGTACAGTTAAAAAACAGGGTTGCTCTTTTACAACGCGTCCTACAAATTCCTTACTTAAAACCGTAAATGTTGTAACGCAGACGGTTCGTGCGGTATTCGTTTACAATAATAATGAAATAAATTATATGTATAAAAAAAATCTCCTAGCCGATTTGTGTATCGTTTAACTGTAATCAATTCACTGTGCGTCTCTCGTATACGAATATTGATTATAGTTAAGTTTTGTATAATATTATATTATGTTGTAAATTGCATTTACAAACGTAAGCTTTTGGACGTTCCAAAAAACGTTCGCAGTATGTACGACATACATTGTATGTGTATAATTTATAAATACAATCGCTTAATTATGGCATCGGATAACAGTTTTCCGATGATTACCGTATTTGCGACATATTTTAGGTTACAAAGGTCCATGTGGTGTTATAGCGCATATTTATTTCTCCCTGCGGCTGCGACTGCAGTTTTTCTTCACCACCGCTGTTGTTCGGGGTTCAAAAACGAGCGGGTCATGGTTTGAATAGCCGTGTGTTTTTATATATATATATATATATACATGTATAAACGCTTCTCGTCGGAACATTTTTCTCCGGCAAAAACACGCGTCCTGCTTCTCCTCCTCGTCCTCCTCGTCCTGTAAACGAGCGTAGGATACGGTACCGCCGTTCCAGCAGTATACATTGCGCACGGAATGAGGGTGCAGCGACGTCAACAGAGGGCGAAGAAGACCGGTGACCGAAAATGGGAGGGAAAAAAATAACGGGCGCTGCGGCGTATCTACGTATAGTCACATTTGTAATAATATTTTAGCACCGTCACCGCCACGCAGAGTCGTACTTAGATTTTGATGACATGAGCAATCATCAAGGAGACATTTATAAAGCGCAAAATCCACCTACTATTTACTTGTAATTTTATTCATTTAAGAATTTTGGTTTCCTATGTACGTGAACATTATTGAGTTATATTTATATTTATAATATTTTCTAACGGATTATGAAAGTAGAAATTTTTCTTGTACTCATTTGTCTATCTAAAGCCGCTTCCACAAATCGTAACAAAACCACATGTGTTCGCGAATGTAACAAATCGGCGATCCGCTTGTTGTCGGTATTCCGACGTAACACCAAAAGATATTAATTATACATACGGACGTATCGACAAACATTTTCATGAACACGCAAAAATAAAATTTATCTATAATTTTTATTTTTATACGGACAACACGAACATACGTTCATACATTTTGGATGTTTGACGAACAGTTCATCGAACATTTAGTAAAACAGTTAGGCTATAAGTTTAGCTGTTGTGGGGGTTTTAAAATTTCACATCGTATAGATTATTTCCATCATAATAGATTATACTGATTTCTGAGATAAGAAGTAAAATTCAATGCACGTTGCTGCGTACTGTATATTTACACGTTCAACTGAAACGCCGTTGTCGGATCGTTTTGACATCTCGTAAATTACTAAATTTTAATATTTACCATATTAACAACGAAATTTGTCGATTTTAGAGAAAACTGAAATGATTAATATTATTACAAACGTGTAGAACGCAATGAAAGCTAGCTGCTGCACTCCGGCATCATACCGAACGGGTCGACCGTTGCGACGAGGGGCGGGTCCTGAGGGGGCGACCGCCCCTTTTAGGTTCTTAGAAGAAAAACCCTTTTAACTCGGGGCTTTTTAAACGTCACTCGGTTTAAAATATATGTATTTTAAACCGTGGTAACATCTAGAAAACGCGCCTTTTGGATTGTATGTATCGTCCCCTCCCCGCGATTATATTGGTCAGGATCCGCAGCCGGTGGCTACGCTAAAAGTCGACCGGGGTTTTCGTGCAACTGCCGACTGGCCCGGTGTGACAGCGCCGCGGCACTACTACCGGCACCGATCGCTCGAGTATTATACACGATAATAATACATAATACTTTATATATATATACTTAAATATGTTGTATACATATTATTATTATTACGACTGCAGTACGGCGCATTTCGGTGACGGCGACGACGACGACGACTGGCCCCCGCCGGATGGGAGTGATTTACGGCTGGAGGGCGCATGCGCAGTGCACGCTCATTCTTCGGTTGGGGGATCGGAGGCCCTCTCCGGGAAAAATGCCCCGGTCCGCAGCCGCCGTCGCAGCGCGGTGCACGATGCACACGCACTATTCAGTATTTACGCATCGCCCCGCGCCACCCCGAGGAGCGTCGGAGCACGCGATACGCGCACGCGCACGCACTGCCGCGTTTTCGTGTAGACCACAACATTTTTACCATACGCGGGAGCGCGCCGAACGACCACGACCACGGCGGCGGCGGCGACGACGGAAACGTGCATAGCCGGGAACGTGTGCGTGTGCATACAAACAACGCGCGTGCACGTCACACCGCGTACGGGACGAGATCGCGCAGGACGTCATGCACACAGCCTGATACATTCGTACCGAGTCCGCCACTATCACGATGAGCGAGAATAAAACTGAAAATCAAATTTCTACGACGTCCTCCAACGGTCACGGAGTTCATTCGAAAGATGAGGAAGGAAAAACTAAAGCTATCCTTCTAAAAGATTCCGCCGAAACAATTAAAATGCGCAGTAATAATGGTAATGATAGTCACTC